AATTAGCAGTTTCAGCAATAAAATTAAAAATTCAGCAAAAATGGTCACATTCCCCTCCCCACACTTACTCCACACATTGTCCTTAAGGTGGACTCAAGGCTTAAAATGTAAATAAAAGGTAAAGTTGAAGGAAACTGCCCTGTTGTGAAGGAAACTGCCCTGTTCTAGCCATTAAGAATATTGCTCTTGCTCATCCTGAAATGCAACTGAAAACACAAAAACACAACCAAAAGAAAAACAAAAGAACAAAATGCAAACCAAATGGTTGTTAGTCTGCAAATGTTATAGATGTTAACCAAGCAAAAGAGCCAGCAAAGCAAAATCAGTTCAACTTAATAAACAATTCTGCTCAACTATCAATAAAATTTCCAATACTGAACATGGCAAATTTCCAATCCCACCAACTCAATCAAATTTCCAATACTGAACATGGCATATTTCCAATCCCACCAACTTCTGCAATTCAATCAATTGGGTTTGATGTTGTACCTATTACTCTCAATACTGAACATGGCATTAAAACAACATAGCAAAACAAGCAAGCAAACTTAGTTGAAACAATGACAACAGATTCTAAGTTTTAAGAGCTTATATTCAGAATACTAATTTTAAACCCAATAAATTGATCCCAAATCGCATTGAACACTGAATTTAGTCAATAAAAGCCTAGAATTAAACCCAACTCAGAATATTCAGCAATCGAACTCCACTCCACTCAGTTATCAATTCCAACTCCAATTTAAACAAAATTCGAATTATCAACAAGCAAGAAAATTATAAAAACTTCCCCTTCAGCAAGTATTGCAAAGTTAAGCAATAAAACCTAATAAAAACTTGCGAAACAACAAAACCCATAAATCATAATGTGCTCAAATAGCTTCAGCCAACAATCTATAATATACCTAAATTCTTCCCTAATTCAAATTCCGCAACAATTGATTAACTAAAAAAAAAACCCAATTGAAATCGATGACAATGCAGTAAATTGGAGCACAGACACTATCTTAAATCACGATTTCTATTCTAATAGGAAGTAAATTAATACCTGTTGCTGAAGTTGGCACGGAAAGGAATCAGATGAGGAAGGAAGACGCTGCTGTTGGATTTTGCGTCGCGCTGTAAAGTGACGTAGGATTGGGCTAAGGACGAAACAAAAGTCTGTTTGGGTTTTAGGTTGTCGATCGGAGTGACAAAATTCTTGTCGTCGATCTTCAGAACTCCTGCCGTCGTTCAAGAATCTCAGCCAACGCAGGTTTCATCGAAAGAGCGCCTCCTGCCCCTATTGTGCCTGCTGCCCCTGTTTGGGTTCTCTTATTCTCTCTTTTTTTTTCTTTTTTGTTTTCTTTACTGTTGCCGCACAAATATAACCAGCTATTATTATTATTATTATTATTATTTTTACCCAGTATAATAACAAAGTAGCTGAATAAAAGAAAAAGAAAAAAAAAACTCTAAGTCCAAATTACCACTCTTTGCTAAACGAATAAAACGCCTAATACTCACCCAACGACACAGCAAAATAGAAATAAAACAAACTTTAACCATGCCCATTTAAAAACTCTATAGGTGTTAAACCCAGAAAAACACAGTGTCCCCAGGTTAGGGACGACACTGTTCATGCAATTTTTTGTTGTTTTTTTTTTTCAAAAAAAAAAAATAAATAAATAAAGAAAAAAAAATAATAATGAAAATTCAGAGAAAAAAAAATATAAAATAAAATGAAACAGAAACTAAATGCTGGGTTGCCTCCCAGTAAGCGCTTGATTTTAACATCTCCGGCTAGACGTTCTTGAGCTAATCAGCTATATTCCCCTGGCTCTTCGAGCCTCAAATTCTCTGATTGAGTAGCTCCAAAACCTTCATAAAATGGTTTCAATCGATGCCCATTCACCCATTCACCTTAAAAAATTTTAAATTGGTCTCTAGACACTTGAATTTCCACTGACCATGAGCAAAAACATTAGTAACAACAAATGGATCCAGTCCCATCTGGACCTTTTACTTACCTAGAAATATTTGAAAGTTTTAGAAATGAATAATAGAACTTTTTGACCAAACTAACAAGCTCTTCCTGGATATCATGCCACATGGAACAGCCTTAGTCTTCTCTTTTGTAATTTATGGAGCTTTCATAAGATTCATTGCGGAATTCCTTCAAGCTCTTGCAATTGTAATTTTCGATTAATACACAGCTTCACCATACTGCATATATGCCAGCGCTGAATAGCCCCCAAAGATGCGCAGTGCTCCAACTCGACAGGCAAATGACAATGGTTGGCCAATAAACTAAGCGATAAGGTGGACCGATAAGGTGACATTCCTATCGGTGTCTTATACGCTGTCCTATAAGCCCATATAAGCCCATAAAGCGTCGTCCAGCCTGACACTCCAATCTTTTCTATTAGGACTCACAGTTTTTACTTCACTTCCCTATTCGAAACTTCTGCTTATCCACTTGTCTGCGGGTGGTAGGCTGTAGAGACACGATGCGTAATACCATACTTCTTGAACAGATTCTCCATAATCTTGTTACAGAAATGAGTTCCTCGATCACTTATAATTGCTCTTGAAATTCCAAGCCGAGAAAAGATATGGCTCTTGACAAAATTCACTACTGTCTTCGCATCATCAGTCCGAGTTGCCTTAGCTTCAACCCATTTGGACACGTAATCCATTGCCAACAATATGTAGCTGTTCCCGAATGATGATGGGAATGGCCCCATAAAATCTATACCCCACACATCAAAAATCTCACAAATAAGAATAGAGGTAAGGGGCATCTGATCTCTACGACTCAAATTACCTGTCTTTTGGCAATTTTCGCAAGATTTGCAATAAATGTACGAGTCTTTAAACATTGATGGCCAGAAAAGTCCACACTCCAGAATCTTGCGAGCTGTTCGTTGAGGACCTTGTTCGTTGAGGACCAAATGACCCTCCACAAGCCTGATGAATGGCAGAATTTCAGAATGGATGGCACTCCACATCCATAACACATCTTTCTAATCACCTGGTCAGAACCACAACTTCCAAAGTATGGATTCATCCCAAACAAAAATAACTTAGCATCTCTCTGATTTTATCTTTTGCAGCTCTAGTTAAGTTTTCTAGTAAAGTAACTGCAACTAAATAATTCACTATATCAGCATACCATGGAAATAACTTTTTGAAGCTAAAGAGTTGCTATCCGAAAAAATCATCCGTCCAATGTGACGCTTTTTCATTCAAAAATCAACCGACTAAAGTGATCAAGCAACAAGATTCTCGGACCCCTTTTTTATCTCTTATCTCTTATCCAAACCTTCGAAGCAAAAGAATCCAAATGAAATCCAAAACGGGGCTTGGAATCCTTCTTCTTTAAAATATTACCTCAATGCTGCATGGTCAGAGAAAATATCACCTTGGGTTCCTAACTAAATACGACCTGAAATTTCCAAAAGAAACACATC